TGGAGCAGCTCTACAAAAAGGCAAGTGGCCTTAAGTCCATTCCAGGCTTGGGACAGAAGGGGAAAGCCCCTGGAGTCCCTGCAACAGGTGGGGATTCAGGGAAGGCACCCACATTGCAAGCAAGGGTCCCTATTGACACATCAGGTCTTTGGGGTCTTCCTCAGGGGTGGCAATCCCCCCCACATACAGCTTCCCTGGGATCAGCCCTGCCCACGGGGCTACCACCTCTGGTTTTCCCCACACACACAGGTAGGCATAGGTACCAGCCAGCAACCCCTCACAGGGGCCCCCAATTTTCAGGACCTAATGATGCGGGCCTTACAGCAATGCATGACAGTGGCATTTTAGCAGCCACAAATGCAACCTCAGCTGGCATCCTCTCCTAGGATACCAGAGGGGCTGGAAACCCAGGGGGAAGACAGCTCCAGTTCCTCAGTCTCATCACAAGAGGATTGCAAGGAGGGGAAAGCCAATAAGAGTTTCCTCCTGTTGTTCTGAGGGTCGGCTGCCTTGGCTCTTCCTTCCATTTTTCTAACATTCTGTTTTCAGCTCCCTGTTTTTCCTTCCTTCCTTTTTTCTTTTCTTTTCTGTGCTTACCACAGCTTATTTTCATCCAGATGGCCAGCAGACTGAATAACTTAGGGTTAGCCCCTGCCTCAAGAGACGAGGTAGCTCAGTGGCTAAGATGCTTGTCGAGCAGAAGTTTGAATCCCTGGCGCCGTGTAATGGAGTGAGCTCTGTTACTTGTCCCAGCTTCTGCCAACCTAGCAGTTTGAAAGCATGTAAAAAATGCAAGCAGAAAAATAAGGACCACTTTGGTGGGAAGGTAAGAGCGCTCGGTGCGCCTTCGGCGTTTAGTCATGCCAGCCACATGACCACAGAGAGGTCTTTGGACAGTGCTGGCTCTTTGGCTTTGAAGCGGAGATTAGCACCGCCCCCTAGAGTTGGGAAAGACTAGCACATATGTGTGAGGGGAACCTTTACCTTTACTTTAGCCCCACAATAAGGGGAGAGGGAGGACATTCCTGTTGCCACTCATTCTTGCTCCCAAATATTAATTGTTTTCTACTGTTTTTCATCAGAAACACTCGATAATCTAGCAATTATATAGATAAGTTGTACTTTCAAATATAAAATCCCCATGATACATCATTAAGCTCTTATTAAGCAGATATTATCTTATCAGAACGCAATGGCAAGAAAATCAGATGAAAGAAGAGAGAAAGTGAAAGGGGCTGGGATCTTTTCTGAGCCATTGGAAGAATCCCCATGGAAGAATTGTTGATAGTGTGGTCCTACGTGCTCTCTCAGCTTAGTGGTTTTCTGGCAGATGTTTCATTGCCAAATTAGATATAATCATCAGTGCTCACCTGTTCCCCTGAAAATAACCCCTCTCTGGATCATAAGCCCAATTGGGCTTTTGAGCGCATGCACTAAAATAAGCCCTCACCCCAAATATTGCAACACAGCAGCAGCCATGACGAGACCATGCTCGCCGCCTCTTGCACCTCAAAAATAGTAAGACCTCCCTGAAAATAAAGCCAAGCGCTTATTTGGGAGTGGAGTCAAAAGAATATAAGACCCTGTCTTATTTTCAGGGAAACACGGTACAAGGCAGTAGGATTTGTCCTTACTGTTATATACTTAGTGGCTTGCCCAGTCAGTACTGGTGGGGGTGGATTCCTTGATTAGATTGTTTACTAGTAGTTTGTGTGTCTGCAGTGGTAGTTCCTTGATTGGGGTATTGTTTACTTATTTGTTGATTTATTGTTAACCTTGGTCTTAATCTCGTGCTGGTGTTGATTGCTGTTTTGCACTTTTTGTTTCCTTTTGGGCTTTTGCATTGTTTGAGTGGTGTGTAGACGTCATTTCTGTGCCTGTTGATGGCTGATTTGTCAGTGCCAGGTCTCCCGGAATTCTCTGGCTTCTTTGGACTTAGCTTGATCTAGGATTCTCACTGGATCCCAGCTGAAACTGGTTGACTCTGTCCCATGTGTTGTGAATTTAAGGAGTTTTCGTTATGTCTTCTGACTGCTAGTTGGTGTTCATGGATGTCCTCTGCTAGTCTTTTGCCTGTTTGTTCAACATAGTGGCTGTTACAATCCTGACATTATATTTTTCTTCTTCTGGGCTACTGGGTCTTCTGGTTCACTTGGATGTTTGGAAGGTTTTAGTTGGTTTGTGTGCTACTGTGATGCCATGTTGATTTTGATAGCAGAACAACATAGTTGAATCCCCTGTTCAAGTAGGAGACTCCATACCAGTGGTGGGTTGCAGGTGGTACGCCCCAGTACGGGCGTACCGGTGCCTGCCGGGAGCATGGGGTACCATTCTGGTACGGTGCTCCGGAGGGCCCACCCACCCTCTTGAGTTTCTTACCTGTATTTGAGCTCTTCAGTGCTTCTACGCGCACGCACAGAGTGTACAGCGCCTGCACAATACTCTGCTGCGCAGCTGGAGCATTGCGGAGGCATCGTGGAGGTAAGGACGCATGCGTGCATGTGTGCGCATGCATGTGGGGGACGCCGGGCCCTGTTGCATCATACCAGTTGCACCGGGATCCGGAACCCACCACTGCTCCATACCGTTTTGGACAAACAGCTGTCCAATCTCTTTTTAGAAAGCTCAATGTTTTTTTTAAAAGGGCATGAATAGCCCTTAGGAGGCTTGTAGAGTGTTCCCGGGGGGGGGGCAAAAACGAGCAAAAAACGGCCCCATTTTTTGTTTAAAAAAGGGCATTAGAGTGCCCTTTTTTTCTTAGAGTGCTCCTGGGGGCTGGGGGAGCAGAATTGAGCAAAAAACAGCCTGTTTTTCACTCATTTCTGCCTTCCCCAGCCTCCAGGAGCGCCCTGAAAGCCTCCAACAAGCTATGCACGGCCATTTTGGTCAAGGGGGCAGGGTTTCTGGAGGCAAAAAAATGCTATATTCAGTGTATAAGACGCACTCAGATTTTCACCCCCTTTTTTGAGGGAAAAAGGTGCATCTTATACTTCGAAAAATACTGTAATTTTTGTCACTGACAGAAAATTTATCCTTTATTCTAGGTTGGATTTCTCTTTGATCAGCTTCCATCATTTCTTCTTATCCTGCCCTCAGTGCTTTAGAGAACAGATCAACCCTCTCTTTCCGTGATGGCCCCTCAAATATTGGAAGGCTGCTATCGTCATTCCTAGTCATTCTCTTCGTTAGACAAGACATACCCAATTCCCTTAATCGTTCATCGCATGCTTTAGCCTCCAGTCCCCTAATCCTCTTTGCTGTTTCTGAGATCTTTCTGATGTGTAGCAATGTTATCCCTTTTGCAGCTTGTGTTGGTTGTGCTAATGGTAGGTTAAGTGGTGAGGGGCTTTGATAAAGTTGCATGAATATCCATTTTGTTGGAAGACATTATATAGATGCTCTCTCTTCTCTCTTCTGCTGTTCAGGGTTGCTGCAATGTGTTTATACTCATCTAAGTAGCGTTCTTACACAACTACTCTTGTGGGAGGTTAGGTTGTTACCTTGGTAGTGGAGCACTTAGTTGGTGTGGGCAGTTTTTCGATAGATTTATGTTTCTAATTTGCCGTAATTGCCTCTGCTGCTATCTAGGAAGGGAAGTGTGTTGTTTTCTTCTTCCCTGGTGAATTTTTTTTTCTTTTGAAAATGATATTAATCGTTTCATGTGTTTTCTATAAATGGTTCTTTTTTATTATGAGGAAGGTGTCATCTATATGCCGCATCGAGACTTCGGGTTCTATGCGTGGGAGTGCTGTAGATTCCAGGTTTTGTATGATGGTCTCAGCGATGAGTCTTAAAAGCAATAATCCCGTGGGTGTTCCTTTGATTTGGTGATATATTTGTCCAATAAACTAAAAGTTTGTAGTCAGGCTAAGGTTGATAAGGTTCATGATTCTGGGTATTTCACTCTTAGTGTATTTGGATTAGGCCGGATGTGCTGTGTAGTAATATACTATACTATACATATACATCAGGGGTGGGTTTCAACCGGTTCGCGGCGGTCCCTGCAAACCGGTTGGTCGGTGAACCCAGAAGTAAGTAACTTCCGGGAACGGCGAAGGGCGCGCCCGCCCGCCTGCGGTCCTTACCCGGTTTTGA